GCGCCTCCCGCCGGGGTCAGCCCCGCTCCGGAGGCTGAGGCCCTCAAACCCAGCCAGAGCACAGACAGGACTGGCACGGAGAGTCCTCAGGTCAACATGTCCATGCCCCTTCCTCCTTCCTGCCAGGGCTGGTCCTTCCAGGCCCCGCCGCCCCTTCTCTGCCTGAGGTTGTGATAGATTCTGGCATTCAGTTCTGGTGGGCGGAGTCATCAGGCAGGGTTCTGCCCCAGCCATGTTCCCCAGGGGCACGTGCTGACTGGCTCTTTGGGGTCGGCACAAAAGTCCTATCCGAGGACCTGCCCTTGCTCATTGCTGGCCTGGGCTGTGGGCAGATGTGCAATGACCTGAGAGGCACCTGGAGCCTAAGGTGGCCAGCTCAGGTCCTCCAGTCTCCATTGCAGGGTTTGGGGGTGTCTAGACGGTTTGGCCCACCTCCAGTTGCCTACCCTTCCCAGGGGGAAAAGTAGGCATTTCTGGGTACTTGTTCAAGAGCATGGACTTGCCTTGTGTGCTCTATATTTTCAGATCTGAATTACCAAACTGCTGGCCATAGGGAGGCCTGTGGGGCAACTCCAGAAAGAGCTGAACGAGCAGCATGGTGAAGGGCTAAGGCCAATGGCATTTCTCTTCTGTCTCTACTTTCTCAGCATGCAGCGCATTGAAATTTTTCCTTTGGAGAAACAAAAAATCTTGGGGCTTCACTGACCCATCTGTCTGTCATCGTGTTGAACGTTGGGAGTTCAGCTCTGTGGGAAAGTATCTTTTTACTGAGCCAAGCGCACATTGTGTAGCCCAGGATGACAGTGCCCAGCACAGATGACATAACGTGCCTTTCTCTTCTGCATGACAGGCATCAATAATCAACCTTGATACTGTTTTCTGCCAAATCTGAATAGAATTTCAAGTGATCAGCACAGAACTCAGGCAGCCGCTTCCAGCACATTAGAGTTGGCATGTGAATTGAAACCATGCCGTCTCCTGCTAAGGAGCAATCTGTTCCACCCAGAGCAATGTGTCTGCAACACCGGGCAGCCTGTGGCCAGGTGTGGGGCCAGGGTAGGGACTTGTCAGCACCCGTTGTGTCCGTAAGTTGTCAAAACACAGGCTGGTCACCAAAGTCTGCGTCACCCTGTCTGCTCAGGAGCCCCGTCCTGTTTCTTGGGGCCTGTGAGCCCAAGAAAAGGCCCCTGTCCCAGGGGAGTGACAGGCAGTAATTAGGGTGAGCTGGGTGGGAAGGTTCCCGGAAACCACTGTTCTCCTTGGAGCAGCCGAGGCAGTGGGAGTGTTTATTTGATTTCTGACTTGCTAACCCTGTAATTTACCTGCTGGAGCAGACAGTCCAGCTGCCTGAACCCTGAAATACTGTGTCGTTAATAGCAGATCCTGGGCCCACCCCAACCCACAGGCACGGCCCACAGAGGCAGAACGACCCGTGTGCCCAAGGACGCGCACCCTGGGATCCACTCTGCACCCTGAGGGCAGGCTCCGGGAGAGCAGGTCTGGGGCAGGGGTGGAGGCTGGGCCGGGCTGCAGGGCAGCAGTCCTGACCCCTGGACTGGGAGGGATTCCGGGAGTGAGTGCTGAGGAAGAGGCCCTCCCAGGGGCACAGACTATCTTGAAGCTATTGAGTTCCCCATCAGTCAATGTAGGGACGTGAGCTTTGGCCTAGCTGTTAGGAGACCTGACTTGCGGGTGCTTCCTCTTCTGGGCCATTTCCCATCTTTAACATGACAGGGCCTTCAGTCATGGAATCCGTGTCTGAGTGCTGAGCCCAGATACGGCCTCATAACCTGAAACTGGAGCTGGTGGCCATCACAAATCCGAGCTATGAACCAGGTGGCCATCACGAATTGGTACATAACATGGAACCTATTTGCTATTCTAGTCCTTGTGTAAAGGTTTTCTCTTCTCAAGATCAAGGTTTGTCTTTTAGGTAACTGTAAATTTTAAATTAGCCAATTATTTTGGCAACTACTTTTTTTTTTTAATATATTGATTTTTTTACAGAGAGGAAGGGAGAGGGATAGAGAGTTAGAAACATTGATGAGAGAGAAACATCGATCAGCTGCTTCCTGCACACTCCCCAGTGGGGATGTGCCCGCAACTAAGGTACATGCCCTTGACCGGAATCGAACCTGGGACCCTTGAGTCCACAGGCCGATGCTCTATCCACTGAGCCAAACCGGTTAGGGCTGGCAACTACTTTTTTACTTCCCCTGGTATCTTTAGTGCCCGGCAATGGCCTGGTGTAGGTAGGGGTGAAATAGAAATGCCTGTCAGATGACCCAAAAGTTTGTAGATACGGAGTATCCCTTCCCTATCAACCAAGCTGTGCACAGCAGGAATGAATAGGAGTTGCAATCTGTTTTCGAGCAGAACAATTGAAAAACAGTAAGTCACTGCTTACCCACCTGGCCATCAGACTTCCAGCAACTTCTGAGACCTAGTCACCAATGAAATCAAATAGAAAAAGCCCCAAGCAGTGAAATAATTGTGGACACAAAGCCCATGCATTATATTCCATGAGTTACCTGTTTGCTGAGCCAAGCGTGGCAGCTGCAGTGGGTGGCCCAGGCTGGCAGGAATACCGCCCTGAAGCCACTGCTTCCCTTTCTCTTGCTCAGGGCATGGCTTATTTATCTGGTCACACCAGACCAGAAGGATAAATAAGGGTGGTCCGTGCATACCCACCGACGGCAATGAGAAACGAGGGACAGCTGGCAGGAAGGGAGGACGCATGGAAACGCAGGCTAAGGAGAAACGCAGGCAGCCTTGGTGTTCGCAGTGCAGTCCTGGCCTTGAGACCAAGTGGTTGCAAGGTTAGTGCTCACTGTCTTCTAACTAAGGCAGGGAAGTCATATGTTCTGGAAAAATCCCTAGGAAATAGGAAAGAGCAGCATAGCAAGAGTATAGGTTTTGGGAACCAAATAGATGCGAATCCTGGTTCTTCCTCCTCTCTACAGCAGGATATTGGCTTTTCCCTCCCAGGCTGTGACAAGGACCAGATATGTCCATAAACATTTAGGACAATGTCTGGCCTATCAGTGCTTAACAACTGGGACCTGCTGATGTTATTACAAATGAACTTGCTAGTCTTGAGCCCCTTCCATGCTTGCCCACTAAGCCTCCTCCCAGAATGTGTCCCAAGGGTGATAGTGTATTTACTTCAGAGCTGGGTTTTTCCACTCAAATAACTACATACTGCAATACTTTGAGGGCAGGACTTGAATTCTCGCCTGCTTGGAAGGCCCGAGGCAAGTGCTGAGTTTTGCTGGCAATGGCCAGGGCTGTGAAACTTGGCTGTGTTCCCTGACACAGGGATCCCACTGTCCTGTAGAAGGTGCACAGCGCCCACCAATTGCCCCTGAGCATTTGAAAGGGAAGGTCCATCCCAGGTGTTCCTGCTTATGCAAAGGCCTTGTGCAAGCACTTGACATTTAAAAAAAAAATTTTTTTTCATTTACTAGACACACAATGTCGTTTTGGAGGGAAGTTTAAATAAAAACAACAAATACAATTCAAATCATCATAGTCTTACGACTTAGATAAATAAACTATTAATATTTTGTGAATTTATTTCTAGTTTTCCCCCCTTAGGATATACATATAAATATAGATGTTTACATATTATAGATAGGTATTTTTACAAAATTGGGTATTTTTACAAAGTACTATATTAAAGTACTTTGAGATATGCCTTCCCCACTTTCTTATATGGTGAAAATTTCCCTGTTAATAAATATTTTTTAAAAACATGGCTTTCTAATTTTCTGTCCCCTGAACTCTACAAGACTCAGGTTTAACCAATTAAAAAAAGTCCCACAGTCACTCCAAGCGGTTGTGCGAGAATTTCGTGACAGTGACACATGTCTATGCCAGCAGCATCAGACGGCAGTTGTGGCTTTAGAGGAAACTCCAGCTACCACAGGACTGATCCTGGACACAGCCTGGATCTCTTCACCAGTGAAGCTGTCGAGACCAGGACAAAGACAGGCCCAGACGCCATGGAGCTTGTGAGGGAATAAATTGGCAATTGGCAGAACCCAGCCAAACCCGAAACCGAACCCTAACCCTAACCCTAGCTTAACCCTAACCCTAACCCTAAAACCCTAACCCCGGCCTAACCCTAACCCTAACCCTAACCCCAACCCCAACCCTGGCATAACCCTAACCCTAACCCTAACCCTAACCCTAACCGTAACCCTAACCCTAACCCTAAAACCCTACCCCCGGCCTAACCCTAACCCTAACCCTAACCGTAACCCTAACCCTAACCCTAAAACCCTACCCCCGGCCTAACCCTAACCCTAACCCTAACCGTAACCCTAACCCTAACCCTAAAACCCTACCCCCGGCCTAACCCTAACCCTAACCCTAACCGTAACCCTAACCCTAACCCTAAAACCCTACCCCCGGCCTAACCCTAACCCTAACCCTAACCGTAACCCTAACCCTAACCCTAAAACCCTACCCCCGGCCTAACCCTAACCCTAACCCTAACCGTAACCCTAACCCTAACCCTAAAACCCTACCCCCGGCCTAACCCTAACCCTAACCCTAACCGTAACCCTAACCCTAACCCTAAAACCCTACCCCCGGCCTAACCCTAACCCTAACCCTAACCGTAACCCTAACCCTAACCCTAAAACCCTACCCCCGGCCTAACCCTAACCCTAACCCTAACCGTAACCCTAACCCTAACCCTAAAACCCTACCCCCGGCCTAACCCTAACCCTAACCCTAACCGTAACCCTAACCCTAACCCTAAAACCCTACCCCCGGCCTAACCCTAACCCTAACCCTAACCGTAACCCTAACCCTAACCCTAAAACCCTACCCCCGGCCTAACCCTAACCCTAACCCTAACCGTAACCCTAACCCTAACCCTAAAACCCTACCCCCGGCCTAACCCTAACCCTAACCCTAACCGTAACCCTAACCCTAACCCTAAAACCCTACCCCCGGCCTAACCCTAACCCTAACCCTAACCGTAACCCTAACCCTAACCCTAAAACCCTACCCCCGGCCTAACCCTAACCCTAACCCTAACCGTAACCCTAACCCTAACCCTAAAACCCTACCCCCGGCCTAACCCTAACCCTAACCCTAACCGTAACCCTAACCCTAACCCTAAAACCCTACCCCCGGCCTAACCCTAACCCTAACCCTAACCGTAACCCTAACCCTAACCCTAAAACCCTACCCCCGGCCTAACCCTAACCCTAACCCTAACCGTAACCCTAACCCTAACCCTAAAACCCTACCCCCGGCCTAACCCTAACCCTAACCCTAACCCCAACCCTAACCCCATACACGAATGGGGCCCTCTGCTTGGAGGGTCTCTTTTGGGAGCTCATCCCTGCCACAGGAGACGGGAATCTGGGCACTTACAGCAGAGGGAGCTCAGCCAAAGGCTGGGAGTCCATTTGGTAGACGGGAGCCAGAAGCCAGGATGCCATCGTCTGTCCCTCAGTAGGAGCGACCTTGGGATCACAGGGCCAGGGAGCAGCAGGCCTCTCCTGCCTCCTGGCACATCCACATAAGATTGAAAAACCCAGGGCACTGCCCTAGCTGGTTTGGCTCAGTGGATAAGAGTGTCAGCCTGCAGTCTGAAGGTTCTTAAGTTTGATTCTGATCAAGGGCACATGCTGGGTTTCAGGCTGGGTCCCCAGTAGGGGGCGTGCAGGAGGCAACCGATCAATGATTCTCTTTCATCACTGATGTTTCTCTCTCCCTCTCCCTTCCTCTCTGAAATCAATAAAAAAACAAAAAACAAAAAAACACCAAACCAGGGCAGTGGATTCTGAATGGTGTGGCTACAGAGCTCAGTCCCTGTTCAGAGCCTTCCACAGGTGCGGGACCTTTAAAACCACCTGGGCAACCAGGACATGGAAGGGGAGTGGAGAGAAGCTGGTCTGCCCCGCAATCACAGAACAATTCTTAAAATAAACCTCTCTTTACAGGTGCATATATACAACGTCCTCTTGGTTGTTTCTCTGGAGAACTCTAATATTGGGACCATTCAACAATGCAGCCATAGACACCAAGTGAACAAATGATGTGGCTGTGCTCCAATAAAACTTTATTCATAAAAATAGGCAGCAGGCTGGATTAGGCTCAGGTAGTGTGCTGACCTGCTGTCTCCTGACAAATAAGCACAGTATCTGGCATGGAAAAGGCACATCGAGTTATAAATGTCATTGTTTAAAATTCTGTAGAACAGAAGTGAACAAATAAATGAATCATTGAGACTCGTATGCATGTTGGCTATGAGAAGCCAGCTTCAGGTCAGCAGCAGGGGCAACAGATGGGAACTCTTCCACTGCCTCCGACTCAGAATATCTGGCTTGAAGATACATCACCTGGCATCTCAGGGGCTATACCCAAGAAAGGAAAGACAAGTTGCGGGGAAGACACTATGCCCTACTTCCTCGCCAGCCTATCTCACTGTGACAGCTTAGCCATAGGTGCAGTCTCCCAGGAACTAGCTGGAGGCAGCAAGACAGGAACTGGGGTTTATTTTACCAGAAGAAACGTCTAGAGCCACACTGCTGGGCCTAGGAGAGGCCCTGGCAGCAAAGGCCACGCACAGCCGTCCACGGTGGGGAGGGTGGCGCCTGTGCTGGATCCTGGCCCGCGGCCTCACTTGGAAGAGCCAGGGGAAGGCCAGGCCGCGCCTGCAGAGGAGCTGCTCCAAGCTGAGCCCGAGGCCACGGCACAGACCCCCGTTAACAGGTGCTGGGTCCCGGGGGCTGCCGGATCCTGGATGTGCGGGGCGGTGCAGAGGAGGCGCCTCTCACACGTACTCCCCACAGTCAGAGATGATCACCTTCTCCTTCGGCTTCCCGTCCTTGCTGCCCTGCGCCTTTGTGGGCGGAACAGAAGAGAAGAAATGGGGAGGGAGGGTGAAGATTAAAGGGGCTCAGGGACACCCATTCCCCCCATTCCCAGGCTGAGCAGAGCAGCCTCCTTCTGGAGCAGCCAGCCCCCTCCAGGCCACAGGGCGCCGCTCCGCTGTCCCACGGGCTGTGCACCGAGGCCTGGGTGGCACCCACCTCGATCTGCCGCAAGACGTCCAGGCCTTCCGTGACCTCCCCGAACACCACGTGCTTGCCGTCCAGCCAGTCCGTCTTGTCACACGTCAGGAAGAACTGGGAGCCGTTGGTGTTCGGGCCGGAGTTGGCCATGGAGAGCAGGCCTGGGGGGGAACGAGCAGTCAGTCCCTCCACCCGGCTCCCTCAGCCAGGCCCACGCTGGGACGGACAGACCATGCGATGTCTTTCTGCCCCTCAACTGACGGCAGTGCAACGGTGAGCAGGGTTTCAATCACTTTATACGGATTTAACCCTCCATTCACTCAACAAACACTTCCTGTCTACTTTGTAACCAGACCTGTGCTGAGCCTGGGGGCACGGTCCCAGCTCCGGGGGAGGTCAGTCTAGTGGAAAAGCGTCACGAAAACAGAGCTGTGCTGACAGCCATGACAGAGTGAGGCCAGGGACACAGACACCTGTGCAGGGACCGGACGCAGAGGCAGCCACATGGGGACCGTGTGTGTGTGCATGTGCATGTGCACGTGTGTGTGACGTGTGCTGGTGCACTGTCATGGAAGGCTCCCTGGAGGAGGGGCCATCTGAGTGTGTCTGAGAGGCCCAGGTTGGTGGGCTGAGGGCGTGCGGCACCAGGCGCTGCAGCTGGTGCGTGGTGGTGAGAAAGCCGCTCTGCCCGCTGGGCCTCGGCACGGTGCCCCTGTGGATGGACCTTGTCCCACCCCACTCTCAATGCAGAGCAGGGTGTTGCACACCTAACAGACCAGCCTGCGAATGTTTTAAATATTCAAGTATTGATTGTGTGTTTCTGATGTGTCAGCCGCTTTCCAGACACTGTGGTGAAAGAAGGCCCGCTCTAGCCAGGCGAACCCTTTCCCCTATTCACTAGCAGGGTCTCCTCCAGCCCCGACCCCGGACCAGAACCACAGCAACATCCCATCCCGCACAGGCATCCTGCCAGGCCCGGCCCCTCAGCACACCCCCTAATCAGGTCCCACCTGGTCCCGTGTGCTTGAGAATGAAGTTCTCATCATCGAACTTCCTCCCGTAGATGGACTTGCCCCCGGTGCCGTTGTGGTTGGTGAAATCGCCGCCCTGGCACATGAACTGGGGGATGATGCGGTGGAAGCTGCTCCCCTTGAAGCCAAAGCCCTTCTCGTGGGTGCACAGGCAACGGAAATTCTCTGGGGTTGAGACAGGAAAAGGTGCTCAGGTTAAAACACAAGCAAACAAAACCTCCCTGTAACTAGACTGAAAACTCTATTTTTAAAAATTTTCACTCTGTTTTGTGATACTAACATCTTAAAGGACTACAGGGGATTCTACCAGAGAGGGAGGAGTACATGCATTCTAGCTCCACTCCACTCTAAACCGTTGTCAAAGTAATTTTTTTAAAAGAAAAACCAAACAGGATCTTAGAAGAAAACAGAGGGGCAAATCTTTGTGACTTTGGATTTGGCAATTGTTTCTTAAATACGACACCAAAAGCATTGATAAAAGAAAAAATATATAAATTAGACCTCATCAAAATTAAAAACTTATATGCATCAAAGGACACTCTTAAGAGTGAAAAGGTCGTTCATAGAATGGGAGAAAATATTTGCAAATCCTATCTGATAAGGGTTTAATATTCAGTATATGTAACTAATTCCTACAACTCAACAAAAGACTGGAATAGACATTTCTCCAAAGAAGATATACAAATAACCAATAAAGCACATGAAAAGATGCTCAACATTAGTCATCAGGGAAATGTAGATCAAAACCATAATGAGATTGCCTGGCCGGCGTGGCTCAGTGGTTGAACATTGGCATATGAACCAGGCCATGGTTCGATTCCCAGTCAGGACACATGCCCAGGTTGCAGGCCCAGTAGGTGATGTGCAGAAGGCAGCCCATCAATGATTCTCTCTATTCATTGATGTTTCTATCTCTCCCTTTCCACTCCTCTCTGAAATCAATCAATATATATATAATATTATTATTATATCTGTCTTTATTCCAACAGAGTCATACAATTTTTTAAAATATATTTTTATTGATTTCAGAGAGGAAGGGAGAGGGAGAGAGAGATAGAAACGTCAATGATGAGAGAGAATCATTGATTGGCTGCCTCCTGGATCGAGCCCGAAACCTGAGCATGTGCCCTGACCGGGTATCGAACTGTGACCTCCTAGTTCACAGGTCAACACTCAACCACTGTGCTATGCTGGTTGGGCCATACAATATAATTTTTAAAAATATATATATTTTGCCCTAACCGGTTTGGCTCAGTGGATAGAGCGTCGGCCTGTGGACTCAAGGGTCCCAGGTTCGATTCCGGTCAAGGGCATGTACCTTGGTCG